GGTGTTGAATGAGTGGGACATTGCTAAATGGGGAAGTTGAGGAGGCAATCATTGTGGATGTTATTGGATTGGATTAGATTTATTCGGTGTAAACACCAAGGATAGCCCACGAAAGTCTAGAAGAAGACTTGTTTCCAGTGGGGTCCTTCTGGTGGTGATTGGACACTACACCAGGAGACAATCCCCTACTCTTTTCCGAAGAGTGTACTGTGTTCATTAATGTGCACATGGGCCATAAATGCACACGGGACCATATGTCATTATTTTTCTGAAGGACGTCTTTGTAGTCAATATTTTGAGTGTCACACTGTAGTCCTTGTGAGGAATTATTGTGCAGTGTGATCAAGGGTGGATCCAAAACATTTTCAGAATAATTGAATAAGCAAATAGCACATATATTGCATTGAAATAAAAAAAAAATTGTGGCAAAACGGAGGCGGGAGCCCTTCCCAGTGACGTCCCTCTCCCCTACTGGATCTTCCCCTGTTGCTTTTGGCTACCCTCTTGTAAGTGAAATACAGAAATATACAGTAGGCCTAGCCTAGTTGGGCATGTGAGAAGTGTTTGTTTTGAATGAAGGTGGATGCATGTAAGGCTTATCCGAACTACTACATTCAAAAGAACCCGTAAACATTGTCCCGACGTGTTTACTGCCCAACTTAGGTCTAAGCCAGGCAATGTTACGGTAATTCATTGGTTACAAGTCATGCATACCTATCCTACTAATAAAGTGGTAATAAATTGTTTATAATTATTATTAATGATATAATTTAAGCCCCTATCATGATCCAGTTCATGTTGTGGTAATAGTACAAATGCATAAGACTATTTCATATTATTTGCATAAGACTATTTCTAGCAAGTGAAGCGTAATTTCTGGGTTTTTCAGACAATAAAATTATCTTGAATAATTTCTATAACGTATTTACTCTGTTACATGTTGTCTCGCTTAATTCTTCAACTTTTATTATTTTAGACCTACGTTTCCTGCTGTTGGAAGACATAACATACAGTATCCTCTTTCTGTAAAAATACAACTTGACACAATTATTATATGTGTACTTTCTTTACAGTATTATTTATAATTGTAAAACTAACTCTGTTTAAGCACGGTTTTGGTTTTGTTGGCTTAACCAGGGTGTATTATCGGATATCAACGCTTTTATAGATTATTTTGAGAACAGACTTGAAGATAATTACTGTATGTTCAATACTTGAAGACGACAACTTTTGCTTACAAAATATGCAGTTTTTATTTGAATATCGAAGAGCCAACTTATACTCAGTATTATATTAACCTTCTGTAGTTACAAACTTTAAATACAGACGATGTATTACAATGTTCAGAACAGGGTCTCATAATTGTAATTTTAACAGTCGCAATGAAGAAGGCCTTTTATGCAATTTATTTTTGTTCAACGAAGTAGAAGATGTATACCATTTCTGTTTAATTTGTTCTGCTTATTAATTCAGAAAGAGAGCCATTATTGCCGTCTCCTCCTAGGTTAATCCGAAACGCCGTAAGTTTTTTAAGTTTGTTTAGATATAATAATTTACAAGTTACGGTAATTTATCTAAGTTTCTCTATGTTGCCTCTAAATTATGAAAAATCTCCCTTGAGTATAATGTTACTCTATAGGCCGAAGCCCTAATTGGGTTAATAATTCATCGAATTAAATGAAAATTGGTATGCTATTTCCATGCATTATATTAAATATTTAAATGGACACATCTATAATTTCATAAATAAATGGATAAGACAACGGAATATATACGATTTTCATATTAATATAGTGTATGGTAGTTTGCACTCACTAACTGCGTCTTTGATTTCATTGAAGGTACTTTGATATACAGCATTAGCATTTTTTTAAGCCGTGTTTTCTTATTAAAAGCAACGCTCTTTTGATACTTTAAGAAACATTTTTTAAGCAGAAATAATATTTCCTTTGGACAACGGGTGTCACTTCCTTTTTAAACCTAGTGTGTCCTTGGAATGTTGAAATAATTATACTGTAAGTCAGTAGACCTACATAGAGAGTTTATGGGTATGCCTTCATTCCTTATTACTTTCAGATCAATACTGCTTTCATTCATCAGCAAGAAATATACTTCCTTTCCTCTCTTTATTATAATAAATTATTCAATCAAGTACATCATCTATTTTATTGTTGATCACATAATTGCTTTACCTAAACACTAATGCACTAATAAACAGTTTTGTTTTTTTAATACTCGATAACATGTAACATGTAACTCTGAATCTCCACGCTTTCACCCTTCCCAGGAGGGCAGCAAACACAGATACGGGTTTAATCAATCTTTTGAGGTCAGCAATGGTTTAATTCATAAAAATTCTTGCAGAGGGGAAACGAAGAAGTTACTTTTTCTGAAGTCCTGTTTTTGATGAGGTAACAAAATGATAAGTTGCTACTCCTACGTGTCATTTCATGCATGTTTTGTAGACTAGACAATAATCGATAAGCAAAAGCCATATATTCTAAGTATCAATTAGTCTTTTGTAACTCAACATTTTTGATTATTTAAAAAAAAAATTTAGTCAATGATTTATTGTAACGATTTAGAGTAACTGCCAACTTCTTAAGTTGTGCATTTGTACGAACCTTTAACTATAAGCAAATTTTGATTGTGACGTAATTCATTTGTTCAAAATATTGTATTATTATTAATATTATCCAAAGCTTCACACATTATGGTGCTTGTGTAACTGTTTTATGGGGCCTACCAAAATTAATACTAAAATTAATATAATGAAAACTAAATTATTATGATCATGGCATGCCACTTAATTTTGTTGCCATTTGCCTGTCACTTGACCCATCTTAAATTGAAAAGTACCGTAGTCGCAATTTTGGCATGTCTATCAAGCGATCCCTGATCTACCGCCGCCAACGTATGACATTCGCACTAAATTCTGACCGTTAATTTGATTGACGTAGTGTTCCAATATTAATTCTTACTTCATTTGTGAGCAAAGGGTTATGGGTAACAGTACAGTTTCAACTCGCAATATCAATTATTCTCCAGAATGATGTGGGATTTGACTAGATTTGTTTAAACCTAATACTGCTGTTAAAATGCTTTATAGAAATCTTCAAATCTTAGTCAAATAAAACGTATTGTAGGAACCCATTAGAGAGTAAAAGTTTTATTTTAATTGACTACAAACTGGAACATTTTTTTCAGTAAATTTATTTCGATGGGCTTTCTATGAATTTGCTTAATACACGCTTGATTTGCGATATGAGCCATCGAATGTATTTCATTTGTTAGGTAACCGCATCGTCGAAGCTGTTTCTTGCTGCCTCGCAATCTCGTCCTCGTTTGTGTTTTTTACCGCTTCGATGTACTTGACAAATTTGTTTTTTAACTCTAGGCCTATGCTGCAGTTGAAACAGACTGATTATCAAATTGAATTTAATAATAAAAAAAAAAAATTAAGGTTGCATTTTTAAGTTCACCACATCTGAGAATATGGCTTAGTAAAAAAAAAAAACAATGTAATTACCCAAGCACTACTTATTCGACCCAAAGCCCTACATTTTCCATTTTACTTAATGATGAGTTAAGTTATTAAATGGAGTGTTTACTATTGGTGACAATCCATAAATATGAGGCTTATTATAAAAAAAAGTGTTGAAATACAATAGGCCTAAAACACAGTTGGACCTATCGGTAAGGGCAATCGCATCTAAAAAACTGACCCAAATAAACAAGTTTTATCGTCATGACCATCCTCTCATCAGCATATTTATATCCTCATCCTCATTATTACCATCATTATAATCATCTTCATCATCTTTATTTTACCCTCATCATCATAAACCTTATATCTTTCTCTTTATATCATTATCATAATCGTCTTCATAATAATGAAATAATAACAACAATAAAATAATAATAATAATAACAATATTAATAATAATCGTCGTTATATTATTAATCATCGTAATCATCATCATCATCATCAACATCATCATCATCATCATTAACAATCATCATCATTATCATCGTCGCCGTTGTCGTCGTCGTCGCTGTCATCCTCCGCATCATCCTTATGGCAGTACGTTCTCTGACAACTATCTTTCTATCGATCATGGTTCACTGGGTGTAAATCAACTCATGGGATATAACTCCCTTTTTCAGAAATGGACTAGTCCTGGATATATTTTGTGATATGTCATTTAAACATAGGCCTAGTGTAGGTGTTCTTTCCTCAATCGCATCTGTTGCCTAGTTGACCATCCGGCAAACGTGCATGCGATTCGAATGTGCAGTTTTTTCTTTCGTGAAAAACCTTCAAATCTCAATAAACCAGGGAGCCATTGTGCGTACTACACACGGTTGTCAGTAATTGTAAGTTTATTTTATTTTTATTGATTTCTTTAAAGATATATTTGTCCCTAATTATTACATTCCAACAAGTTTTTGTGGAGTTAAGTTGAATAGCTTGGTGGTTAAATGCTCGCCTTCCAATTCTAGGGTTCTGGGTTCAAATCCTGTCGGATTCCAGGTTTTTTTTCTCAAGACAAAACAACTAGGGCCTACACCGTAAGTCTCGTTATGTGTGTAGAGCATCATGTGTATACGTTTGTTTTGTGAAGTTATTGCCACCTATCTAATAGGAACGTGATTAATTCGCTCTTGGCAATCCATGGACATGTGCCCAAAGGATTAAAATAAAAATAAAAATAAAATATGTTGAAAATCAATAAGAGAAAATGTATCACCTGATGCCGAGAATAATTAATGTAAACAAAACAATATGTTTGCAGTGACAGGAAATTGAATTTTGAATTTTGAATAAAATACCTCAAATAATCATAACATACTGTAATATACTTAATACTGTAATATAATTGTCAAAAACTAAAAGGTCTCCCTCAAGTTAAAGACCACATTTGGGATCGGGCTTTTGGCGGCCTTAGCAGCTTCGGTCTCTTATTAGAATCCATATATAATATAAAAAAAGTCTTATATAAAAGTGGTCTTATATATCACCAGGCCTATTTAGAGGGAAATTAACGAATGATATAGTAAATGTAAAATTGTCTCTGTGCTTTAGAATGGATTACTATGGAGACTATTCACAAACCAAGTCCTGCGCAGGTTCTGATGCCTAAATCGCCATTACAATATTACTAACAATAAACATCGTCCTACTAAAACTATCATTATACCATATTTAATAGAGCACTGTGTACACAAAACATCATCGTAAGTGTATTATTTTAATGTGTATGTTCATATCATCAGCATTATTTAAAAAAAACTACATTAAAGTCATATATATATATATAAATATATATATATGTATATATATATATATATACATTGTAATGTGTTCTTTATTTGAAAATAAAATAGTTTAGTTAGGTCTGCCAAAACCATTTGATACACGTTCGAATGTCCTACTAACACAATCGGTATTAAATATGGAGCATGTATACACATTTTCACTAAAATCACAATTTTTAAAAAGTAGTCCTTATTTGCCGTCCCAACGGTTACCGGTATTTAGCATGGAATCAATACCGTGCCGAGAACGCCAAAGAACCGTTCTTCATTTATTCGTTCGTTCGTTCGTTCATTCAATTATTTATTTATTTATTCATTCATTCGTTCATTTATTCATTCATTTATTCATTCATTTATTCATTCATTATTCAGCCAATAACATAAACAAGTAGATACAATACACTTAACGGAAATTTAACAAATACTTGAGACAATAACCTAAGTTGGCTAGGCCGGATTAACGATAGTGTGAAAACACTCTCAGGCCTGTTAGTCCTGTGGATTTTTAAACATAAATATATACAGACAATAATTAATTAAACAATAATATAAAATAATCTATTGAAAAGCAAAGCATAGCAATTAAAGTAATATTAATAAAACTATATGATAATGATGACATGAAAATAAACAATTACACAATTAAATAAATCCAAACTTCCTTTTTAAAAAGCAATGCCGTTTGAGAGATGTATACTAATTCAGTGAAATAACCGTTCTTCGTGGGGTAGTTTTAGCTGAAATATAAATAGCAGCCTGATTTGACCCACTGTACGTTAAATTTAGAGAGAGGCTAAGCCTATGTCTAGTACTATTAGAATTGTTGAAAACGACGGAATTGAAAATTAATTTTTATCAGACTTTGTAAAATACTTCTCATTTTACCCTTGGATATATTCTTATCAATTTCTTCAGTAATGATAAGGAATGTCGGTGTTCCACCAGTTTAGTGATAGACTTACGATATTGTCATTTATTATTAGGAGGAATTAGTAAAACAAATGTTCTATTCACAACACAACAAAATAGTCTCTTCTGTTAAGTTAGAACAAAAGTTCAACTTACTTTTATTTAAATACCGACATGAGCTTTTATTTGAGTAGGGAAATCATCATTGTTTGTTTGTATCTTGGTAGTCGGGCGAAAATAATAGTTGTTAAAGCTTTTATTTTTAAAGTCATTTCTGTCATATTAAATTGCATTCTGGGTAATTTTCACGTCTTTTTCAGCTTGGTATCAAATACACCAACGCGTTTTATGTAAAGTCAAAATGCAGTTGCTATGCTGTCCTTATCTTTTTAATCCGATAATCAACCAATAATAAGAGAAGCGTATCTATCTCGGTTTTCAGTAGCAATTAAGAAATAATATTCCAACGATTGGTTGGCTTAACAATCGGTTTTTGCACGGCTGGCGTTCCTTACCTATCATCCTTTTATCTCATCGCCAGCCGCGCTGCACTTGTGTGCTCAAATTTTTCATTTATTTTGTTTCGTCCGCTAAATATTTTTGACCTTTAGTTTAGGCCCAAACTCATCTACATCTTCCTTAGTCCTGCTTGTTGTGTACTATCTGAAAAAAGCCAGCCAAATTCTTCTCAAAGATGTCCATTGCAAACTATACAAATCACTCATGGCACCACACCTTGAATATTGCCATTTTGTATGGGTACGTACAAATAAAATACAAAGTAAAACTTTCTAAATTCTACAAAACTGTGCAGCTAAAATTATTTTAAACAAATCGAGAAGTGATTCTAGTACTCAAGCTCTGCAAAGCCTTAAATAGATGAATTTAGACCAAAAGTTGTATATAAATGAGGCCATCACTATGTTTAAAATTATGAATAGCCTTGTAGGCCTACCTCATTATTTATCTCATTATTTATTTATTTAACAGATTTGTCTCTAAAAATAATTACTATAATATAAGAATTAAACCAGAATTAATATTGCCAAAACCAGAAGTTTGTCATATAGAGGTGCCATACATGAAATTAGCAATGATGTTAAAAATGTTGAGAAATTGTCCTTATTTAAAAAGTATAATTGCGACATTGTAATAACACCTTTATGGTAGTTTCTTACATAAACTACAGTATTTTTGTTTGTTCGAGTTTGTTTATTGTAATTAAGTTAGTAAGATTTAAGTCTAGTTTAGATATTTGTGTGTTTATTGTTTATTTTAAGTCATTTTTTTTCTTTTGATTTTCTGGTTAAATTGTTGTATACACGGTCTTGCAGAATGACAACTGTTAGTTGAGACAAGTTTTCCGTGTTTTAAATAAAGATTATTATATTATTATCTTTACAAACATATCGACGCACTTTATGTTTTGTTTTTCCCCTCCTACACTCCTCTTTCCTCGCCCTTTGTACAATGGTGATGATAAGTGGGGCTATTGTTAGACACAGTTTGTTAGCGGCCTGGCGGACTCCTGGCACAAAGACATGGCCTAGGAAATAGGGATGGACACTTTCTGGGTTCCCACAGGATCGATTAAATGGTTTAGAATGGAAGTACAGTTACCACAAGCTGTTATTTATTCTTAGTAATCGATTTTCTTTAAAAATCCAGACATCAATTCCTGTACTTGTCTAAGCAACTTTCCATTAAAATCTAACACCACCACTAAGGTTATCGTCACTAAATATACTCAAAACACACACAAAACACCATCTTATGATGTGCAGTGGCTAATATTTTTATATTTTAAGACCTGTAACTAAATTTATTAAAGAAAAAAAATAAATAGCATTAACATCACTATTTATTTTATAGTGGTCTTTAATTGGAAGGCAAATTTTCATTTGGGTCCACCAAAACCATGGTCTTTGGTCTCTAAATAGAGGGCGTCTTACATTTGGAGTGAACAGCTAATGTTAAAAGATAGGCATTCAAACGGGACCACAGATAAGTGGTCTTTAATTGGAGGGAGACCTGTAGATCTTGTGAAGTAGGCCCTACAACAATTTAATACTTATGGATTGGTAGCACATGAAAGTTTTGGTTTATACGCATACAACGTGTAGCAGTGGCGTCACGGAGTTTGTGGGGCCCTGGCGCTGACTGTTATTGGGGGCTCCTAATAAGTGAACGAGCGGAGCGAGCAAACAGACGCTGGGGCCCAGGGGGACGCGTAGGGCCCCTAGTTTGAGTCCTAAACTTTGACGACCTGTGAGTTTAGGCCTATTAGCCCACTAGTTTGTTCAGTATTAGGATAATATTGGGTAGGGTGGGTGCCTATTCATGCCTATAACTTTTAATCAACTGAATATATTTTCTTGTTTTTAGTACAAACGTGTAGAATAATACATTTCCTATTATTTGGTATAAACAAAATTTAATTACATCGTTAATTATGTCACAGGTGGTAAACTCTCAATAATAGTTTTCCTATTCCGTTAAAGTAAATGAACATAGATGCATTTTAGCGCCTTGAGCACTACTGCAATGGATTCGTGCGCTTTATAAATCTTTATTTCAGTATTTTACTCTATATATATAAATACCGTATATATATATATATATATATATATATATATATATATATATATAAAATATAAATCAAGATAGTCATTAACAGTGTTGATTTATGTGTAAATTATCAAATAAAGGTAAATACAGTGTTTGAATAAAGCACATGATAATACATCGTGTAGCATAGCTCTCAACCATTGTTGTCCTATAAATAAATAAATAAGGAAATTGTGTATATACAATATATACTTATACAGATATAGGCCAAATATACGTATATTAATGTTTTGTTATTTTATTCATGTTAATGCATTATTATTATCACAAGTTTAAATATATATTTTGGGTGAAATTCGATGTTGATCTTTGGTTGATGACCTTTTGACCTCATGTGACAGAATTATCAAAGTAATTACATTTTCCTTTATACCAAATGATAGGAAATGTATTATTCTACACTCTGGTATTAAAAAGAAAATATATTCAGTTGGTAAAACGTTGTGGGCATAAATGTTACCCCACCGCATTATCAATCATCCAAATTCTACTGCTGCACAAAAACAGGTACCTATCTTTGA